GGCATTCAAATCGGAAAGGCATTTCATTACCAAGCATGTTTCTACCATGCAATGTACAACATCTCTCACTCCGTGCGACAATGAAATATCTACCGGCCCCAACACGGAATTATAATCGAACTTTAGTAATTGAAATTGTGTGATAACTATTTTTACTAATCAATTAGTTCTCAAGTAGAAGAAATTTTAGCTTGACTGATGAGTGTGAACATAGTCTCTGGTTGGTCTTAGTTGCATTATTGTAATCTGCAATAAAATAAATAACAATTTGTTTTTAATATTTCCAATGATAGTTTGTAATGTGACCGAAGTGTTGTGAAAATATCTACTACAATTGCAATACTGAAAATAGTTTTAACAAAAGTCAAATATGTTTATGTAAATTATTTTCATTTTCATCATATTATCTCATTCCGTACCAATATTTATGTTATTCCGTACCATTATAATGTTAAGAACTATTTTAATGAATAGAGGGAAACGACCTAATTAACTGAGGCAAGAATTATCAGTCGTCCTCCAGTTAACGCCTACAAATTGTTGACATACTTTTGAATTGAAGTTTCAAAAAATGTTATCAATTAAAGTTAACTTATTATGGATTTTCCAGAAGGAGTTTTAGTAATCCCCAGGTTACCTACCTATGATGACATGAGCTCGATACGTTTATTATAGAACATAAAACTGTACATAAAAAACTTTGAACCTTACATTGAAAATTATAATTTTAGTTTTCCTGATTTCAATGTTCAATTTCTATATTTTACAGAATGTAATTAGAATATTTAGTAAATATTGGGATGAATTATAAAATGCCAAACTATATATATCATCAACATTTGAAGCAGGAGAGAAATTACTAAAACTGATATCTCATGAATATTATTTGAAAGTCCAATTATAAATCGAAAACATTGATCAGAAAACACCGCACCCACATATTTATGGCCTTGATGTGATGTCTATGATGGTAATTAGAAGACTGTGCCTGCTTCATATCATATTAAACAGTCACTGAATTTAACAAGTTCGTTTTTGATAAACACGAGACTTCGAAATTTTATGGCGCCACCAACGATGGTTTTTCTGGCTATATGCGCAAATCCCCCTCTCTCATTCCTACGCTATGTCACCGGTGATAGTGGTGAAAATATATTTTTTGAAAGTTCGGTTTGAATACTTAATTACGGAGAGCATAATGTTGCGATCTGTTCTGTTCAGCCCAATCCCAACTCTTGACTCGACTGCCGTGGGTCCGAGTGAACACGTCCACAAACACGCGGGTTACGAAGATTGGTATTTATATTTTTTTTTTACAAATACGTTCAGAAGCAAAGTTATCTTGTTGTCCTTCACGTAATAGACATTTTTGTAATAAATAAATTGTTATGTAATGAACGAGTTTGGTAGAATATGCGTCTCAAAACGAGGCGTGATTGGTTAAAATTTATGGGGTAAGTAAGATGAGTGTGTCACATGTGTACACCATAGGTATGCCATGATTTCATCATTTTTATGTCTTGATTATATTATTTCCTCATTAATATGCCATTATTTCATCATTATTATGTCATTATTTTAACTTGAATATGTGATGTATATATATTATTTTGCCATTGTTTTTATTTTTTCATCGGTATTATCTGTTTATTTTGCGATTAATTCAACATTATTTGACGCCATCATGATTAATCAATAACAATAAAAGTCTCCTTAGCCACGAACGTAATATTGCAATCTAGAGACAATATAAATAAATATTTTCTGCCCAACTGTAAATAATGTAGCTGGATATCAAATTTAAGATTTGATTAAGTATACTTTCAAAGTCATAATCTACTATAAGTTGTGGGGTCTTTTTTAGCCGCTTGCAAAAAAACTCCGTCTGTGAGCCAGTTTCCATTCGCTCGCCATCAACGCATGCGTCGTTATTTTGCATTCGGGAGACATGGTAAACGACCTCCCGATGATCGAGCAAGCTGTAATTATGTAGCCGTAATTCACATTTTAAGAAACAAAATAAGCCTAGAACGAAGGAAATCAGATTCCGCATCATTATCGTTTTTGCCTTAAAGTCACGTACAATCACATTCAATTATTATATTTTTCTTGAAGACCTCTAGTCACCTACAATGTTATTTTTCTTTTCTTCTTGAAAACCTCTCTCCCAGCAGCCAATACACTGACCCAACTTGATTTTTAGGGGAATCCATATTGAATTAGGATCACTAGAAAATCAATCCCGTTAGATGGCACACGGCTGTTCATTAACGTAACAAACATAGAAGCCAAGTTCTAATGAAATGCGTAAACATTTCTCATGTCAGTCAATAAGGCAGCGATAAGGCAATAACTATTCTTATTGGCGCTGTTTCAAAATTAGGAAAGGGTGGTGTATTTGGTCACGGTGTGTTCAGGGAAATCCGGAAGCTGATCGGAAACCAGCCAGACAGACTTATTTCGAATTGGTTCATATATATAAGTATGACGATAAGATAAGACATAGTGAAATAATATTCAAATAATTACCTGATGTTGAAATAAAATAAACATAATATAATACTGTCAAAAAAACACGACATAATAACGTTAGAATAATATAAAATTGACACATTAATGACGAAATAACACAACAATGATAAAATACTGATGAAACAATGAATGAAATAATAGTTAAATAATGGCGAAATGAATATATACATAACGGCACAATGAAACAATTTATAATTTCGGCACCCGTCTCATCTCATCACGGTTTGGGGTAGGAATCCCGGGATGGGAAGAACCCATGTAGTGTTGTGCGTTTGTATAATTCCTTTGTCTCTCTGAAAAGAGTGAATTACGACATATAATCGGATATAATCCACTGCAAATCTTGGTTTCCGAATGATCAAAAGATCTAGCCGTATTATAACGTCGAGCATAGAGGTATAATTTAAATCTCAGACTAGTAATACAATATTACTAGTCTGAGTTTAAATATACCTCCATGCGTCGAGTAAATAACTTCTAATTCTAGTGTGAAACCTATATTCATTTACCGGATATATCACGTGACTGCCACCATGTGACTTAGGTCAAACAGCGATGACAGCTGAATGTCGTTGGGGAAGATGACATACACTAACAGTTTGCATTGGAAGTTGCTTCTTCATATCTACCCATATCAGTGATATTCAGTGTAACTCCCCAATGCTGTAACGACGTCGAGATCTTGTATCCGCTTGGTTTATAGCAACAATATGTCTGAAGACGTCACCACGAGCTCGGAGGACGAGCTGGAATGTCGACCACAAAATATCATTGCGGTCATCGATGAGTTGGAAGAAATTGATTCGTTGTTGGACAGTGTACCTCTGAAGACAACTTCAAACGGAAACCAACAACCACCATTAGATGCGCCAAGACACGGTAGGTTTGCCTCATTTCGATGACGTATTCGCATGTTGCATGTAAACAATAAACATTGTTATACATGTATTAGCAATACTCGACTGGCCACACGCAATTGTTTAAAGTTTCAAACTACCACTGAGTTTTCACTTATGGCGAATTCAATTATGTGACCTCAGTAAAAAATAATTTACTATAAAATACTTTTTGAGATAATTTTTAAAAATTTAAACTGTTAACCTGTGATACGGGGGTCTGGAGGTATAATGCAGAGTTTTGTGAATTTGTACGAGGCATAGGCATATTTTTCATCAATAAGTTGTGAAAACTGAGCAAATAAATAAATAAATACTGATGTCTGCTTAACATATGGTAAACCAGTATTGTTTTCAATTACTCTTCAATATGAGATTTTTCAAAAAAGAACATCAATTTGGCAATTGCCATCTTTATTATTAAAAACAATAACATGTGTTTTTTAATTGTGAATTTGTCTACGATCCTTGCCTATATTATATATACATTGTAGTACAGTGTTGACTATCTCTACCTGGTTTAACCAATATGTAACTATCTATACCTGGTTTAACCAATATATACCTATCTATACCTGGTTTAACCAATATTTTCCTATCTATACCTGGTTTAACCAATATGTACCTATCTATACCTGGTTTAACCAATATGTACCTATCTATACCCGGTTTAACCAATATGTACCTATCTATACCTGGTTTAACCAATATGTACCTATCTATACCTGGTTTAACCAATATGTACTTATCTTAGTCTAATCTGCATGTTTGTTTTGTTGTGTTAATTATTGACTGATTAGAATAAGTAAACAACTCCCTCTAAACAAGAATGTCAAAAAAAAGAACTTAAATAGTTGAAAAACATCTTGTTACAAAATTAGTTATGTCATAATCCAAAGAATATAGGGATACATTGTAGGATGTAGCTGATGTGGTGCATGTCTTTTAACCCTAACCAGTCACTGGATGTGATGTATTTGAATCATGTTTTCGCTCCATTGAATTTACAAAAGACTGCAGTAATTCAGATCTAGGGAAATATTATATTGTATTTTTTACTTGCAATTTACATATATTCTTACCTTTAAATATCTTACAAAACTGAAGAAATGCATTTGTAAATCAAGTATTTTCTCTAGAAAAGTGCATCTCCAATACAAGTACACATAATATAAAATTGCATTTTATTGTATACTGAGTCATTAAAATATTTACATTTACATAAGGTGCATGTACTACTAATAGAGTAAATACAGTTCAATGCAACTTTAATATCACATTTTGTTATGACCAGTTTGTCACATATTTTTAAAGAAAAAGAAATGTGTACTTCTTAGTTTTAACATAATTATGAGTTGCTGGTATGTTTGTTACAATGTTTCAAATTGAAACAATGTGGGTAGTAATATGTTGCTGGTACTTCAGTATTTCTATTGATGTGACATTTCTCATTCATATCTGTGTCAACCATGTAAAAACAACCCAAATTACTAATAATATTAAAATATCAAAAGGAATTGGTTGTTATTTAAACATAAAAATACAGAGAATACTTGCTTAATTAATTTCTAAAGAAATAAAAACATGTATTTATGTGCATACTCATTTACTTTCAGTTAAAATTTATTAGTTATAGTGTGGAATCCATGTACTATTTAGAAATATGTATTAAAATAGAGGAGATCTCATGTGCAGGAATTGGGTCTCAAATGACATTCACAATGATCGCTAAAAACATAAATTCTCATGGGTAGACGCTTGTTTGCGAACAACGACATACTATGACGGTTTGCTACCACATGTGCAGGTAACGACTTCCTCACTTTAACCAAACTATTTTTCATTACATTGTTCGTACCATCATAAATGGAAGGGAAATGTTTGAGGTCTTCATTGTTGTTGTTGTTGTAGTCAATTTTCTTATCGTTAAAATGACTCAGTTAATCAAACATTAATAGTATCCAGTATGGCATCTAAACCAAGTTTTATTTTGTTATGTTTTCTATGTATATTTTTAACTTTAAATTTGTCTTTTTGTGGTTGCAATAACTTCTTCTTGAAAACAGTCACCCTGATTGTATTGATTTTTTGTACAGTGATGAACAGATGAGCTAATATCAAACTGCTAGATTCTTGTAAACTTTTGCACATTATGAACATGTACATGTATAGTGTGCCTGAAGTTATTAAATATAACTGAATATGTAATATGCAACTTGAACATGAATGTAAAATCTACTTACTTACTCGTTGTATTATAACAAAATATATTTTAAAATGCT